TGCACAAACTGTTAAGAGAGGGGCATGGATTGGGGAGATTACTTCAGAGAATTCACACAGGAGAGGCAACCTAAACTGAGATGGTGTCAGTAAAGAAATGAAAACCACAGATTAAATCAGGGTTATTTCCTTCGGTCAGTGGTTAGGCTGCAGGGTCATGGTAGGCAAAAAAATTTTATTTACCCATTGATCTAAGATATGTATTAAGAACTCAAAATAATACTTGGCACATAGTAAATACTCAGTAAATACTACATGTTTATCTGAAACCCCATTGTCCACACAAGTTTCCCATCACCATTTATTTGTCATCTTGTTAATTCCTGGTTTATTACAGTTTACTACTTCTGGAGTACAAGCTCCATGAGGGCCAGGTCCTAAACATCATTACCTACCCATGGCCTAGCACAAAATAGCATTCAAATATATTCACTGAATAATTATACTAGATCAATAAAATCCAAAGATTCAGCATATACAGGTGGATCTGTATACTGTCTAGTGATGGGGAGAATGATTATAAACATTAACTATAACAAGGAATAAAGGGGAATGAGCAAGTGTGTTTTATACAAGGGAATGGCAGGCATGTGAGATGAACTGAGTAAAGGATGTATTAAATTTGAAATAGAAAAGTTAAAAAAAAAGGGGCCCTGCTGGTGTAGCTCAGTGGATTGAGCACGGGTTGCAAATCAAAGGGTCGCTGGTTCCATCCCCAGTTAGGGCACATGCCTGGGTTGTGGGCCAGGTCCCCAGTGGGGGCCAAGTGAGAGACAGACACACACTGATGTTTCCCTCTCTTTCCCCCTTTCTTCCCCTCTCTCTAAAAATAAATAAATAAAACCCTTTAAAAAAAGAAAAGTTAAAGAGGAAATTGGAAATATGTCTGCGATATCTGGCAGCCAAAGATACCAAGTGGTTACAAACATGGCCTCTGAAGGCCATTTGTCCAGATTTAAATGCCACTTCTGCTGTCTCCTAGCTGCACTATCTTGGACAGATAATTACTTAACCTCTGGGCTCCAATATTCTTGTGTCAAAAAAATAAATAAATAAGAAAAAAAACACCCAACAAAAAAAGAAAGCAATTTGCCAACCTTACTGGGTTGTTGTTTTTTCTTTTAGGATTAAATTAATAAATACTGAGGCATCAAAATAACACTTAGTGAATGATAAATAATAAATGTTAAGTATTAAGATGACAAGTGATAGCTGAACATCTAATTTCAAATGAAATATATAGTGAAAACAAGAAAACCAGAACCCCAGGTAATAACAACTGGGAACAAAGAAGAGAAAACACCTGAAGAAAAGTGATTAAGGGGACCAAAGGGAAAATAGGGAATTACTGTAACCAAAGAGGATTTTGAGGAAGAAATAGTCAATAGCAGAAAATGTTGGTTAGGTCCATATGGTCTGTAAGAAGGCCACAGGATTTGGCAATGTAAAGGTCAACTAACGACGGAAGAAGAGCATTCTTCCAAGTGTTTACATGGGTATTATGGAATGAGTAGAGTAAAAATGAAGCCTATAACGCAGACAAAAGAAACAGGGAGAATGACATAAGGTTGTAGGCTCAATCCTATCAAATATTTTTTATTCTATCATCACCATCATTTAAAAGAGGACTCTGCGTAACAGCCAAATTCACGAAGACTAAAATTCTCAGAATAAAGGAAGCACCTTTATACAAAATCACTATATACTGTTATTTTTTTGTCATTTCATAGTAAAATCCTAAAATCTTGTAATAGGAAAAGCATCAGAATTTGTATAACATCATTTTTGACTATTCTAAGAAAATGCTGACAAAGTAAGGGGTGCATGAAAAACAAAGTTCTCCCACCTTAATAATGAAGAAATCTAGTTATCTGTGAGCAAAATATCTCCCATAAGGTTAAGATTGTTAGGTAGAAAACAGCTATCATGTTATGACAAATCTGTATACCAGAGTATGCAAACACAAAAACTACTTAAAATTTTTACATTCGCCAGAGAATCAGTAACTTTAGAATACAAATTCTTGGACTATATCATATTTTTTACCTATTATCTAATGTTATGTTTTTATAGTTGCCAAACAAGCATTTTGTATTATACCACAAGTGCATTTTTAATAACATATCAACTACAGAAAAAATATAAGGACATGTTTACAACATACACGAATTACACTTCGTACATCATGGGGGTTCAAAAACACTTTGCTGAAATGTACTGAAGTATATATGCCACAATATGATAGACAAAGAATTACAGGGCAGATTCCATTTCTATGAAAAATGCTAAGATAACCATATAACCCAGTAGTTACAAGAGTGGTACTAAGAACACGGGTTTTGAATTCAGACAAACCTGGTTTCAAAGATCAGTTCCAATACTTTATAGCTGGGTGACTTTGGCAAAGTTACTTAACCTAAATTTGTCTTATCTGTAAAATAGGAATACATAAGGTTGTAATGCTGCATAATGGCAGTTATAATTTTTATATAACATGAATTGCTAACATCCTATAAAGCTCACTTTTTCCAAGCCCGAGACCAAATCTCTGGAGGATAAAGCAGGGGAGGGGGCCTGCATATTTTTTAAAGTTTACAAGTGATTCTGGCTAGCTCTCTCATTCAGGAGTCACTGCCTCAGAGTCTTACTAACAAATATTAAAATACCTCAGTCCAAGATAAGGAACCCACACAAAGACAAAAAGAGCTTTAAGACATGGTCCTTTGATTAGCTATAAGTTTTTAAAACAGACCTTTACCCCAAATTCCTTTTACAGAAAAAAAGAAAGAAAAAAAACCCCACACATTGAAAAGTTCCAATTTAACATCCTTTCCAAAGCCAGGAAACACTTGATTCCATACTGAAATTTTACATCAAAATAAGGTATAACTTAGCCTCTTCGTATTCATTATTGAATAGTTTTGTATGTGTAGATAAAAACACATATAGGTAACCCAAACTCTATATAATATAGAGTAAGCTGTCTCATTATCTTTCTTAAAAATAAATTTAAGTTTACAGTTTAAATCCATTGATGTGTCACTTAAACCATCCCAATAGAATTTTATTCAACACAAACATTTTAAAGTGTGTACAAGAAATCTTACTAAAGACTGAGTACAATTAAAGCAAATTCAACATACTGGAAGTAAATTTGAAACCCTCTTAGTTCAGTAACCCAGTAAAATATTTTAGAGAAATGTATAGAACAAGAGCATATAAACACAATCATGAACATTTTATCCCCCCCCCCCCCAAAAAAAATCAGTATGAATTGATGAAAATCCCTGGAAAAATTTCAGAGTCTAGAAACACTGTAGAACTTTGTCAAAATAAACAAACTAGCTTATAATGGCTATATCAAAATATACCTATATAGATCAACTGAAAGCAAGCAAACAAATAAAAGGAATCTCTCTTTAAAGACTTATTGTCAAGGGAAGAACTAGATGAGAAAGCGAGTAGGACAGACAATACAGACCTCATCAATGTACATACTTTAGCAATTTAGACAAAAGACATTTTCTCTGCTACTTACCTTACTGAAGCTTATGAATGACTAATGTAATTGCTAAATTGAAAAGTGGTAGAATCCAAGCTTTCATACAACAGTACGAAGGTCATAACACTATTTCAAACTGGCAAAGTATTAGTGAGCCCAAGCTTCCATGCATTTGCAAATGCAATTATTAAAAATAAATGCCTATCTTCACTCACAGAGAACGTTAAATTTGCAACACGGTGTGACAGAAAGTTGTGTGTCAACAGAACTCTAAATCCCAGGTATTTTAAAGTAGACTATACATCACAAGTTAAAAGAACCAGCAGACAATTTCAACTTAAGCTTTTTGAAAGTTGTATTTTTAAAAGCAGAATATATCAAAGTGCGATTCTAAAACATTGAATTGACTAACAGGTGTTAATTTATAATTTTTGCAAAACTTGATAAAGTGTCAAAATATGTAAGCATTCTTACTTTGTAAAAGTTTAACTTAACCTACTTTGTAGACTCAAAGTTTACTAGTTCAAAAGCAAGCTGAAAAGATAAATATTTCTTTGAGTACACCCTTCCTAAATTAATCCAAAATTCCTTACTTAAATTTTTCCAACTATTCACCATAGGCATAAATGGCATATGTCAGCGAACAATATTGCTGACATTCTAAATATATACATAAATCTGAACAGGTGCAACACTACTTAAATGCATGTTTTTCCCCCCTAAGCCTAAATTTGACCTGGAAAGGATTTAAAAATAAACACGAATACCCAAAATGTTGAACAAGTCTTTAAGAAAGATATAGCCATTCTGAAATCCAAGACATGACCCCGTAAACTACCAACATCTTCCAAAAGTTAGGTAAACCAGCCCATCAAATTTTCACCTTAAGAGGATTGAGTCAGGCTTAATTATGAGGGGTCTTGAGGATATTTAATTCTGCTTCACCACTGTGAGTAACGTGACAAAAGAACATTTTACTTCCAGCTAATATTAATTTTTTCAGTCCTTTCACAAAGACAACATAGATAGTCTGGTTTGCCTTTTTATGTGTTAAAAAAGGGGGGGATGGAGGAAGGGAAGGGAAGGCCAGGTGAAGGGTACCCTAAAAAAAATCTCAGTACAGGCATACCTCGTTTTATTGCGCTTCGCTTCACTGCGCTTCACAGAACTGGTGGGTTTTTTTTTGTTTGTTTCTTTTTAAAAATTGAAGGCAAGACCCTCTAGCAGCAAAAATATTACCACTTGCTTCACTGCGGTGGTCTGAAACCGAACCTGCAGTATCCCCGAGGTATGCCTGTATGGAGAAGGCTAAACTAAAGAAGAACTGAAGGGGAATCTAAGTGCACAGGGAAGCATCTCAGGTGAAGGTACTTAAAGTTGGCGGTAGGAAATGAAAACTTCACAGGTCAGCGGCAAGCCATTGTGCTTGGTAGCAGCTCTGGAAGGAAGCGTGGTTGTCAAGGGGCAAGTGCGTACCAACTCCAAGGGAGGGGGGCAGACGTGCCAAAACGGAAAGAGGGGATGATCCAGGAAAAGGTGGTAAAATGCCCATCATCGGGTTCTCCATCTCAAGAGGCAACACAAAGCAAGTTCACCGTTCAGGAGCCTCACGCCCGGCTCTCCCACAGAGAAGAGTTCTACCCCAAGGCCGGGAAGCCCGGGAGGCCCGGGCAGGCCGCCTCCAGAGGAGCCCCCGCAGACGCCATACTAAAAGCCAAAATGGCTGCCCCAAGGAAGCCCGCACAGCGCAGCTAGTGAGGGTTTGGGAAAAAGCTTCTGCGGGAAAGGGGGAGGAAGACTCTAGCAGGAACAGCGGCCAGGACCAACGCCCCCGAGCCGCGCAGGTAGGCTCATCTGGTCTTCCCAAGCCCGCGGGATCCCAATGAGGGAAGTCCCGTCCCCAACCCCCACGGGGAACCCCGCTGCCGCAGCTGTCCCGCACACCGACGCTAGCGAGGTACCTGCAGTTCGGCTCGCTCCACCTCCCAGTGCGCCCGTTCCATCTCGAACCGAGCCCACTCGTGCTGGATGTAGTGCAGGATCCCTGGGATAGTGTACTGTTGCGGCCGGGACAGCTCGGGGCCTGCCGCTGGACCCGCTCCCTCGGCGGCAGGAGGACCCGCGCTGCCTGCCGCTCCATTGCCCCCTGGTGAAAGGCTCATATTTCCCCCAGGTCCCTGCTGTTGGCGTGGAGGGGCCGCCATCCCCGGGCCGCCACCACTGCCTCCGGCGAGCTCGTCCATTGTGTGTGGGGCCCCGGCCGGGGCGCAGGGCAAGACGCCGACAGCTGAGGGAAGGGCCGGGGAGGATGGCCCCGCTCCGGCGGCGGGGCGGAGGCCAGCTGTGATTGGGGCGGGGAGGGTATAGTTGCTGTGTGTCTGCCGTGGGTCAGAGCAGGGAGCTGCCGGCCGCCGCCATTACACTCCCTCCTCCATCTGCCCGTCTCACTCACTTTAGGGAAAGCGGGGATAGGGGGGCCTGGAGGGAGGGGGTAAAGGGGGCAGGGTTGGGAAGAGATGGACGTAGTGCCGTCGCTCCCCGCGCAGCATGCTGGGTACAGAACGCCGCTGTCGCAGCACGCCTGGTAGCCAAATAGAGTCCGGCCTCACCCTACGCAGGCGCACTGAGGACGCAGTCTGGCTTGCAGTTAGTGGCTCCGGAGCCCCGGCCCCGCCCCTAGGCCCGCCCCCAGACTTGCTGGGGGTTTCTAGCTGCCGGGACGGGTCAGAGGGCTACCCACTCCTACTTTTGGGAGCTAGTTGTTCTCCAACTTCCCTTGCTCACATTTCACAAGCGTCTTTCCCCAGCCAAGGGTCTCAGCGAAGTGCCTGCCTTTAGAGCTTAGTTTTAACCTTGGCGGTCCCTCTGGCCAACCGCAGCCGGTCCCGGATTCTTAACGTTTCTTTTGCATTCCTTGCGTGTTTCAGGCAGTCCCAGTGGGTCGGGCCTCTTTCCGTCACTCGCTGTTTCTCTGCTTCGTAGCACCAGTCAGTCCGTTTCTGGGGCTTTGGGGACGTTCTCTTTGCGCAGATAGCCCAGATTCTTCCGGACCTGATGAATGATACCCCGTCAGCCTTTCGAGCCCCGGCTTTGGTCCCAATTCTGCGCGCCCGGTCACCCGTCGCAACTTGTTCCACTTTGCCTCCCCTCTTTCTAATTATGCGACGTGTTGTGTTTTGGTGTTTGGGGAGAGGACCAGGAGCTACTGTTTTAATTTTTTCCCCTAGAGAGATGGGGAGGTGATGAGAGAGTTCAGATCTTCTGCAAACTCGCATCACTGACTGCATGTTGTTGCAGAAGTGAGGGGAACCAGGTTTGTTAAATTAATTGTGGTAGAAATGCATTAGCCTCAGAAACTTCTGAAGTGGCCCATTCTGTCCCAGTACAATGTAAAAAAAGAAAGTTTGGATCTTTAAATGGTGGGTAGAAGGAGAAAGGTAACTTTGAAGGGGACTAGTTAGACTAACAATTTGGTATTTTATAAGTGAATGAGGTTGCAAGTACTTAATTCATACTAGAATCTTTCGATGGAAATTTTAAAATGCATCGTGAATACAATTTAGAATCCCAGATGAAAGACTAAATATGTTTTCTTGGGTCATTCAGTGTTGTTTGAGCGAATATAATATACACATAAAAGACAAGGTAATCTTAAGAACCATAATGTGTGTGTTATATAATGAGATTGCCAGGAAACATCCTTAATGAATTAGTAAGTTCCTGTAAGTTAATGTAGCTACTAACCATTTAGTTGAAAAATAGAACTAAGATAATATTTAACAACATAGTAAGAAAAAGAGGTTTAATAATTATAACTGTGCAACAAAATTGGTTGCATTTTTAAATGTTTTCTTCTCTACTACAAATAAAGTTTTTACTATGGAATATATATGAGCACTCGGTATAATTTCTTTTTCTTTTTTCTTTTTTAATTTTTATAAGAGTTTATTTAAGCCAAGCTGACAATACATGGCTGGGAGCAAGATCTCAAATGCTCCCACTCAGAGTATAATTTCAAGGAGATAAAGTAATACATCTTGTTCTATCATGTCTGCTCTCCTGTTATGGTTTAGAAAACAGATTGGACTTGTTACCCATGCTGCCATATTTTATTTATAAATGAAATTAGGTCTTAGGTTATAGTATTATTAAAGGCTGTTTCTCCATTTTAAAACAACTAACATTCAACCTGCTTTTGAGGCCCCCTGTTTCTTTTTGAAGGGACTCTTAGCACATAAAATTTCAGAAATCCCATGCTGCCTCAAGACCTATATACAACAAGAAACATTTGTGAGAGAGTGTGATTGACCTCCGCGATGTAGGCATCAAAGAAGCAGAACTTGCACACTTATATTTCCCACTGGTACCTCAAATTCAAGTAAACATTAGATTTATAATATTTTTCCTCCCCCTTTACCTGCAAAAAAACAAAAAACTCTACTCCTCTTCTGTTGTCTGTCTTAAGTGGCACTACACCCAAACCTGAGGCCTGGCAGTCATTCTGGTCCCTTTTTTTCACTTATCACCCACATCCAATCTCTTTCTCAGTGACATCTTTCATATCTTATTCCATTATCTTCATTCATGTCTTAATTTAAACCTTTCCACCTCTATTCTTCTACCTCTCAGTACTGCCAATGGCCTGAGTGATCTTCAAAAAGCAGATCTGATCCTGTCACTCCCTACCTAAAATCTTTAGTGATCACCAGATTTAGAACAAATACCAAATTTTAGCACAGCATATAAAGATCCTTCAGATTCTAGAAGCTCCTATCACCTAATCTATCATCATACCATCATGCCACCCCATTCTTCTCTCCAGCCAAACTGCACCGTTCTTGGTTCATCAAATGCATAATGTTTCATTCCACAGGAATTTAACACGTGCTGTGCCCAGTGCTTATCCATACCTTCTTCCTTCAAAACTCAGGCCAAGTATTACTTCTTCCAAGAAGCTTTCCAAATCTCTGAATTATTTAGGAACCTCATCCTAATAGTATTCATGTTCATTTCCTATTACTTACCACAGTATTTAAATTTGTCTATGTACTGGTCAAGGAAACTCTTACTAGCACCTGCACATAGCAGGTACTGCATGTCTTTGCTTCACTCGTTTATTTATTCTTTTTAAATTTCTTTCCTTTTTTTAAAAAAGATTTTATTTATTTATCTTTAGAGGGGAAGGGAAGGAGAGAGGGAGAGAAACATCAATGTATGGTTGCCTCTCATGAGTCCCCTGCAGGGAACCAGCCTGCAACCCCGGTATGTGCCCTGACTGGGAATCAAACCGTGATTGTCTGGTTCGCAGGCCCGCGCTCAATCCACTGAGCTACACCAGCCAGGGCTCTTTTTAAATTTCTTGATTGGCTACTATTTTTCAGATACTCTGCTAGTCCCTGATGATCCACTATTAACCAAGCAGACATAATCCCTGCCCTTACAGACTTTCCAGTCTAGTTTTAGGCAAATTAGCACGAATGACGCTGCCTTCCTTAATATCTGTCCAGATCTGTCTTAAAATGATCTCTTTTAAAATTTCTACTGTGCTCCCTTTTTGAAGAGTTCTTTTTGACCATGTCTACATTCACTTTAATTATGTTTATTAATGTCAATGCAGGCTTCCGCCTTGTTTTTCCCAGATCATGCAATCATTCGTCTGCAGGATTGCTTCCTAGAGGGGAGCACCCATGCCCTCTTGTTCGGAGCGGTACCTCCAGTGTCTGGGACAGTGAGATCCCCAGTAAACATTTGATGAATAACTTAAATTTAGACTAAACTGATATGAATACTTTCCTTTCCCCTCAATCATTTTTATTAGTTTTTTGCTACCACTATACCAGTTATCTCTTAGAGTTCAATGACCAGAACTGCTCCAAGTGTTAAAAGACACCAAAATTTTCTCCTTTGTTGGGAAAATGTGTTTTACAGTCTTGATGTTGTGCTTTGTGTCCATGACTCCTGAGGACGCTCTGCAGTGAGCTACTAGAATCTTGTCTACTGTAAGTCAGGAGCTTTCCCAGGCATATTATCACCTACAACTCACCTACCTGGAACTCCCTCCCTACACTGTGGCTGAGTCATTTCCTCTTCAGTCTCATGCTTGAAGCTTGCTGTTTGTTCTGTCCTTTCTTCAGTCTGTCCCTCCCTCCTCCACTCCCATTGATTCTCTCAGTTTATGTGTACTACTGATGATCTTCCTGAATGCCTATTAATGTCTTTACTCAGTTTAGAATTTTAGCTGTTTTTTTTCTTTTCTTTTAGCTAATCTCAACATCTTATTCTTTCTGATCAAAATGGGATTTGTTATATATTATGTATATATATTATGTCCAGGGGTGTCCACCCTGTGGCTCAGGATGGCTCTGAACGCAGCCCAACACAAAAATCATAAATTTACTTAAAACATTATGAGATTTTTTTCGTTTTCGTTTTTGTCAGTGTTTGTGTATTTAATGTGTGGCCTGAGACAGTGCTTCTGACGTGGCCCAGAGACGCCAAAAGTTTGAACACCCCTAACTGCAAAGATATGTCAAGGAAGTCCAGGCTTTTGAATAAGTTCGAAATAGTTAACACTCAGATGCTTTCTTCCTGATTTTTATAAAATCCCACTACAAAGAGTTTGACTCTGCCTTTGAGAACTATTTGATATCCTGTAATTACTTACCTGAACATGCAGCTGACTTTGTACCTGACATCCTTCTAACAAAGAGCTCTAACTGGTTCACAAACACTTAGGTAATGTAGTCATTTTTCTGCATCATCTGAAAAGGTGGTGACAAGTATGCATACCTCCATGGGGAGGAGAGAAAGCTGAGATAAGAGTTCTAGGTCACTTCTGCGGCCCCTAAGTAGAACAGAAAGTGGTCCCTACTCTTACATCAGTGAGTGTGTGTGTAAGTATTTGGAAACAAGAAATAAGTCTCCCTTCTGACTCCTGCTGCCCTACCATGAGCTCAGTATTGCTGTTTGTGGTTCCAGATTATATGTACTTTTGCTTATCTGATTTATTTTGTCTTTTTAAAAATTTTATTTTTAATTGTTGACATATAATATTAGTTTCAAATATATAACATAGTGGTTAGACATTCGTACACCTTACAGAATGTCACCTTATCATTTGTACTTTTGAAATCCTTTTTAGGTAGGGCTTTTTTTTTTTATTGATTTTTAGAAAGAGAGAGGAAGGAGGGGCAGGCAGAGAGAGGAAAATAGCGATTTGTTCCACTTCTTGATATATTGATTGGTTCTTTTCTCCTGTGTCCTCTTACCAGGAATTGAACCCACAACCTTGGTGTATAAGGACAACACTCCAACTGAGCTCCCTTTGCCAGGGCCTTTTAGGTAGTTTGAGGTGATTCAGTCACTTGGGAGAATTACGTAGTTACATTTATGAATACAGAGAACTGAATTTTAGAGCCCAGAGAAAGATCTTTGAGAAGAGCCGACGTGTGTTCAGAAAGCAAGGAAGCAAGCTGTATAATGCAGATGGAGCAAAAAAGGAGGAGTCAGCTTTGATCAGCACTGTGGTTTGACCTGCC